ACTGGCAAAAAACAAGGCCCCAGAAATTAATGGGATGCTAAATGAGATGGTTCAACAAATGCATGCAACACTGGAAACTCCCACTTGACTATGCCAAGAAATTTGGAAGACAGTTACTAGCCAGCCAACTGGAAGAGATCCGTATTTATGCCCATTCCAAAGAATGGTGAGCCAATGAAACACAAAAATTATTGAACAATATCATTAATATCACATGTAAGCAAAATTACTGAAGATAATTCAAAAATGGCTGCAGCAGCACAACAACAGGGAAATGTCAAAACTTCAAGCCAGATTCAGAAGAGGATGTAGAACAAGGGCTATCATCAATGATGTCAGATGGATCTTGGCTGAAAGCAGAGAATACCAGAAAGATGTTTACCTGTGTTTCATTGACTATGCAAAAGAATTCAATTGTGTGGATCATACAAATTACAGATAACACTGTGAAGAATGGGAATTCCAGAACACTTAATTGTGCTCATGCAGACCCCATACATAGACTAAGAGACTGTTATCAAACATAATAAGCAGACACTGCATAGTTTGAAGTCAGGAAACATGTGCATCAGGGTTGTATCCTTTTACCATATTTCTTCAATATGTATGTTGAGAAAATAATCTGAGAAACTGGACTCTGAAGAAGAATGAGGTATCAGGCCTGGAGGAAGACTTGTTGATAGCGTGTGATACGAAGATGACACAGCCTTGCTTACAGAAGGCAAAGAAGACGTAAAGCACTTACCGATGAAGATCAAAGCTTTCTGTACGCATCACACTTCAGCATAAAGAAAACACAAATCCTCACAACTAGACCGAAAAGCAACATAATAATAAATGGAGAAAAGATTGAACTTGTCAAGGATTTCATTTTACATGGATCTACAATCAATGCCCATAGAAGCAGCAGTCAAGAAATTAAAAGACACATTGCAGTGGGCAAATCTGCTACAAAAGACCTCTTTAAAGTTAAAAAGATATCACTTTGAGGACCAAAGTGTGCCTAACCCAAGCCCATTGTATTTTCAATTGCCTCGTATGCATGCGAAAGTTGGACAACGAATAACAAAGACCATAGGTGAATTCATGCGTTTGGAGAAGAAATCTGAACCTACCACGCACTGCTAGAACGAACAAACCTGTCCTGGAAGAAGTGCAGCCAGAAGGCTCTGTAGAAGTGAGCACGGCAAGACTTCATCTCACTTACTTTTGACACGTTATCAGGAGAGATAGTAGAGAGTCAGCAAAAACTAAGATTCACAGTAAGATGGACTGACACAGTGGATATAACAATGGGCTCAATCTGAGCAACCACTGTCTGGATGATGCAAGACCAGGCAGTGTGTTCATCCGTTGTAACAGGGTCACTCTGAGTTGGAACTGACTCGACAGCACCTAACAACAACAGCTTTTTTTGTAAATAAAAATAGTTCTACTGGAACAGGGTCATGATCAATCATTTAAGTATCTCCTATGGCTGTTTTCACACAACAGAGATAAGTAGCTGCAACTGACACCACGTGGCCTGCAGAGTTCAAAACAAAGTCACTATCTTACCCTTCACAGAAAAAGTTCATTCATCATGAGTTAACTGAAGAGAAATGTGACCACATGGACATTATATATAAGTAATACTTCTATTGGTATGAATTGTGGATCTTTCTTCTTAAAAAGGAAATGCAGACTTACTTTAAACATGTAAAAGTCAGGGATAATAAAGCAAATAGGGTAAAATGTTAACTTATTAATGTGGGTAATCGTTTGTACAATACCTCTAACCTCGCAATTTTTCTATAAAAGTGAAATTGCAGTATTACTAAATAAAAGTTTCAAACAGACAGACCAACCCCTAAAGGCACATAATTGGAAAGAGTCAGGCAATATTTGACTGCAGATGTGATCAAATTAAGGATTTTGAGATGGGAAGATTTTTCAGGATTATCCAGACAGGCCCTAAATGTGATCACAAGCGTCCTTTCAAGAGGAGGAAGAGAGAGCTTTGACTACAGAAGGCAGCAAGGTTACCACTGCAGCAAGAGTGCTGTGCTGCTGGCTGGAGGCTGGAGGACAGAGCAAGGAGCCGAGGGATGCAAGGAACGCAGCTCTAGAAGCTGGCAAGTCGAGAGCACAGGTTTACTCCTCCAGCCTCCGGAGAGAGCACAGCCCTGCCAACACCTGGCTTTCAGCCCAGAAAAATCAGTTTTGGACTTGCGACATCCAGAACTGAAAAAAAATAAGCATGTGCCAGCACTAGTATCAAAGTTCAACAAGACAGAAAATAACAAATGCTGGCGAGGTTGTGGAGAGATTGGGACTCTCAT